CACCTTTGCACGGATTCGTCATGCAAATCAAATCCATCAATCAGTCACACGCGGATTGTTGGCCATTTTATGAACCTTTGGGCCGCTTGTTCGAGGCCGCCGTGGCATTTGATGTTTTTGCTGCTTTTGATCCCTCCCTTCAACACCCCCATCAAATCCATCGCGGAGTTGTGGCCATTGTACGAATCCTTGGCCGCTTGTCGAGGCAGCCGTCGTGGCGTTTGATGCTTTTGACCCCTCCCCTTCTCCGGCCGAGCTCCGGGGCCTAGGCTACCCAGGAACGCAACCTTGCAGGGCAACTTGCAGAGGCGGCCACGTGAGCACCACAGGTCAGAATTCATGAGCCCATAATCAGGAGATTATTGGTTCTGTGGGGGGAAGAGTCCTATGAGCTTATGATCATAAGATCATTGGCTTTGCGTGTGTGAAACAAGGAAGGCTCATGACCTTATGATCGTGAGATCATTGGTTTTGTAGGGTGGATGCAGGCAACACTGAGGGTACAGCAGCATGGACAATCACGACGATTCGAGCATGACCCTCGTCGGTGTTTCCTCGAGAGCAAGACCTGCACGGTGAAACAGAGGCAACCCGGCGTATGCGGGTGCGATGCCAAGCATCGGAAGTCTGTGGCAACCCAAAGCCGCCGGCAAGGAAACCGCAGGTGCGTGCGTCAATAGGACTCCTGCCGGGACGCCCCCTCTTCCTTCTGCTTGACTGCCTCAACCATCTTCTGGATGCACTTCCGCATGTATTGCGTGGTGGGGATCAACACCTGCTGAGTGGTGACGTCCTTGAGTCAACCCGACACAATACAAACTGACACAAGAATACGATACATTTAGATATACTGCAGTTTCTCAATGTTCGAGTGGATGTCATGATTTGATAAGTCTTTGCGGCTACCTTGGGTCCTCGAACATCTGCTTCTTGAGACTTCCAAGAGGGCCGAACAACCTGGTTTTTCTCCCAATGACCGCGCCGAAGTTCATCTTGACGATGTTCCTGGCTGCCGACTGGCTCGGTGTCTCAGTCTCGGGATCGCCTCCTTCAATGGGCGACCAACCTTGCGTTGCCATGTTCTCCATGTGCGGACGGGTGAGGTTGTGTATCACCAAGTCGTCGAGGCCGAAGTTGTCCCACATGTAGTATGAGTCGAAGTCCACTTCATCACCCAGGCTGAACTCCAGGGTGAGCTTCGAGAGTGCCTGGCTGCACAAGAAGATGTCGCCACCAAAGTTGTCGTAGAACGCCTCGGCAAGGTCCTCTGGCATGCCCCACTTCGTCGTCAGCATCTTGATCATGGCTACCTCCTCAACTTCGGGTGCCACGATGATGTTTAGCGAGTCGTACTTGCCCCTACCCAGCTGCTCAATCCGGTAAGGGAAGGCGTACTCGGAGGCCACCAGGACCACGCAAGCCTCAGTGGGATGTGTGGGACTCAGTACCTTAAGAGCAAGAGAGGGGATAGTTGAAGCCAGATTGCAACAGCCATGCTTTCACACCAACATGCCACGGACACCTTCCTCTGCTGCTTGCTGATAGCCACGAAGAGGGCGAGGGCAGCTTCTGCTGCAGCCTTCTTACCATTCCCGTTGCCACCATTGCCGTCAGGAAAGGCTATGCTAGCTTCGTCGATGATGATGACGGGAGTCAGGCCATCAGCACTGGCAGCTGCGACGAACTCCTCGACGAACTGGCTGGGTTTCTTTGCACCCATTGTTGCCGCGACTGTTGCGGCAGCTGCTGCAACCACCTTCAAGCCCTGGTCGCTTTCCCTCGCTTCTGCCTTGCTCAGCACCGGAAGGAACTCTCCCATAACAGGCTGAAGCCAGTCAGGCATGGTGTCCTCGGTCCACCTGCTCTTGGCTACCTCCTGCAGGCACTCCAAGACATCCGTGGACCGAGGAATCCGCATGTCCACCAAGAGCAATGGATCTTGTTGTTGAAACTTCGCAGTGGACATACGCTCGAGGACTTTGCTTTTCCCGAGGCTCTTGCCTCCAATCACCATGTGGAGCCCTGGCTTGTTCATCACCTGCGACGACAAGAGTCTTAGGGAGCTACGGGCCACTGCATGAGCTATGAAGACAGAGGTGGCGCTGCATTGGGGAACATGGGAACTGCTGCAATCAAGGAGCATGGGGGGGGTGTAGTTTCAGATCGGACTAGATGGCCTTCTCCAAGAACATCGTGAAATCCTTACGGCCTGCCACTTCCGCACCTCGCTGCCACTCATTGGCACGCTCTTCGATGCTCTCCAAGAACTCGCTCGGTGTCTTCTGTGCTTTCTGTGCAGATTGCCGAACGAGCTCTGGGATGCTGAATGCCTGCAGATGTGAGAGGCCTGCGATGCAGACCGCGAACAGCAGCAGAGGCACTGCCCGCTGGAAAGGCCTTGCCCTGTCGATGCCTACCATGCCAAGGGGCTTGCAGTTGCTCGGGGCTCGAAGCGACGGCTACCCCTGAGCCCTGAACCGCAGTGCGGCGCGGCCTGCTTGCCTTGCCCGCCCGTTGTGCATGCCTGCTGCCTAGTGCTGTTGCCTAGCTGCCATGTTGCTGCTGCCTGGCTGCTATGCTGCTGCAACTGCTGCGTCTGAGCGAGAAGGCCGGCGCACGAACAAGAACCTGCAACAAGGCACAAGGCGGGAAGGGAAACTCAAGGGTTAAGGAAGCAAGGCAGTTGCAAGGCAGCAGGGGACGTGAAAGGGTTAAGGTACCCTGATCCCCCGTGAAGGATTCAAGAAGAGAAACCTGGGCAAGGGAACCCTTCAAAGGCAAAATCTGACCGCGAAAAGTTAGCAGAATACCGCTACAATAGCAAAGTGGCAGCAATGAGCCAGACGTGTGCATCACAGAGAGCACCCCTCAACCTGCACGTTGGTGTTGACGCATCCTAAACTCGCACGGATTCTGCGTGACAAAGTCTGACAGGCCCGAACACACAGGGGACGTGCCTCTTCTTTTCCGATTTGGTTGTCGGATGGTGCCACCGTCAAAGTTCAAGGGCTCACCGTCCACACCCTGCCAGTCTTCCGGGGCCCTGAGGCCTCGTCAAGCCCGATTTGGAGGGGCTTCGGCGTCACAATACGGACAAAACCACCAAAAACTAAGGCGTGCTTCCAGCTCTGTTGCATGACGAATCCGTGCAAAGGTGCCGTACACGTCCGCATACGCCTCCAAGTTCCCGAGCTCTTGGAAAGCTCTAGTTGCTCGCCCTTTCAGATCTGACGGAACCCTGTCAGGATGCAGTGACTTTCACTTTTTTGAGACACGTCTGCTCTGTGCCCTCAGAGGCAAGCACACACACACGCACACACACCCATGCGAA